TTAATCTTTTTTGTTATTTAATAATATTATTAACTAAGTTAGTAATCAATGAAATATTTATTTAAGATTATTCCTTTTAAAATATTGACTTAATTAATCGTTTAAAGAAGACTATTATTTTTAATTAGTGATTTTTATAATTGTCATTATTGTTATTATTAATAGTGATTATTATTGTAAAGCAAATTGATTTCCAACCAAGTATAATAATTATTTCTTCTATTTAAATTAATATTTTGCATTTATGAATAATCATTAATGATTATTATTAATATTAATTAATGTGTACAAAAGAAGTAGTGGGACCCAGCATTCTCAATTGAACTGTTATCTTCTCAGGCAACGGTTCGTGCAAAACTCGACCATCAGCGGCGTCATCAACAACGACGGTATGACCTTCCTGGCCACTGGAGACAATGATCGCCTGTATTAAAAAAAAACACCTCGTATCTGGCTTCCTGGCTTCCTGTACACTGGTCATATGAACTTCCCGGCCACCAGCGACCACCCATAAGCGATTGCCCATGGCCGACGATCTCATGTAACGTTAAAAGAACAACCGATATTCGTCTGTATTAAAAAAAAAAAAAAAAACGGCTTAGATTCTACCTTCTTCTCAAGCAAGGATTCGCAATTACAGTAAACAGCCGCCGTATTCTACCTTCATATGACCTTCCCGGCCACCGGAGGCAACCCATAACTGATCACCTGTGGTCGGCGATCTCATATACATTATAATAGTAGCTGTTGGTCACCGGTAGTAAAAACAAAAACGTCTGGTTTTCTTCTCAGAGGACCCTGTTTTCTCAAGTAATGATTTGGGCTAAATCTTAACAGGGTTATAGGGCCGACTATTGCTACTTGCTATGCCCTGGCCGCTAGCGGTCACATAGAAGTTTCTTGGTTGCAGTTCGATGCAGGGGGTGTTAATGAGTTCGTTGGAACAAATGTTTTGAAATTCAAATAACATATATTTTTTTATGAGATTAGAATTCATGAGACAAAGATTGAGAAGATAGAGTTCAATCTGATAAAATAAATGAAAGAAAAAATAGAAACATGTTTGCCAAACTCAAAACTCTATACGTTATACGTGTAAGATACAGTGAGATGAAATGTAAAATTACCCAAGTGGTTAAAGTTGAAAACATCCAACTAAGAATTCCAATGAAGTGAACTTCTTATAAGCTCTGAGAAATTACAGATTTGGAGAACATCGTATGCAAAGACTGTGAATTTAGAGTCTGATACTGATAGATTGTGATAGATTGAATGAGAATGTAGATTTCTGGACGTGACTTAGAGTCTGACATGAACGTGGGGGTGAATTGGGTGCAAAAGAATTTTTGAATTTGTCTCGAAAAATTAAGTTTTCTTTGAAAATTTGAAATTTTGAAAAGGCAATTGATCAGAATAAACACATGTCTAATTTATTTCATGGTTTAGAAGACAGGTGTCTAAATGGAGGAGAGCAACATGTCTGACTGGGGGAGATTTTGACCTGATTTTATTACTTTAATACATATATATATATATAAGCCAAACACCCACACAACTCGCCCCTATTCACAAAAAGCTTGGACATCTCATGTATGTGCGTGGGAGTCCATAAGATCTCCTGCCCACACAAACTCTGCCTATATTGATGGCAGCCACACATGGAGAACGTCTCATCCTCTACGTAATAATATGCAAGGAGAAATGTTCCCAATTCATGGAGGATAGTATGGAGTTTTAATTGATCAAAACTCTTTCTATATCATAGATTTTCCCTTTTCACTTCACAGCCTCTTTTACAAACGGGCCAAAGTGAAAATAGGCCTGGGCCTGAAAATTTGTGGCCAGACTAATGGGGCCGGACGGGTCATAAATGATCATCCTTACAATCGGTTGGATATCAAATGATTTATTTATTTATTTCTATATTTTCCCATCACAGCAATTTATCAAATGGCCACCTTCAATCCTTGTCAGTATCGACTCTCGATCCTGAAATTCTGGTCCAAAACTGTATGGTCTTCATCATTGTCACGAGAACTCTCTGTAACTTCCCAGAATCTAGCCATCATAGTAGGGCCGTGCAATTAGTGATCAAAGGGCTTCTTCACTCCCTTGCCTTTGAGTATTCTTGATCTCCAATGCTTAAAAGGGCTTCTTTCACTCTCTTTCAGTTTGTTTACAATGCAATTTCATTTGTATCAATGCATTAATATAAGTATAAATATTGCTAGCATTGTCAATGGGTTGGGCTCGGTCCAATGGATCCAAATCAATTGGGTCGGTTCTAATTCTAGTATATCATACTTATAAATCGGTTCCAATTCTTGATATATTGTCTTAAGTATTAAATATATAATATTTTCAGCAAGTTTACTATAATTGAGTCCATTGGATTAGACCTGATTGCCTAGATAACCGATCAATTTAGTTCTGGGTCTGAACCTACAGACCCTATCAGGTCTGATTCGGTTCTGATTCCTTAATATTTCTTGTCGGATCAGTTTTGATTCTAGCTAAATTCGACCTCTTGACATCCCTAAGTTTTGCTATAGGATGTAATTACATTCAGTTTTCTAATAAAAAGAAATTAATTTGGTTGTGAGTGAGTTTAAATACCCCTATGTTTGATTTTTAATTTTCTACAAATCCAAAAATAATTACAGTTTGAATAAATAAAAGAATAAAAATTTGAAAACAAAAACACATCAGAACTTGCATTCACAATGGTATTTTAGTAGGGATGCAAATGGTCATTCATCTCAATTCGAATTTGAATTAATTCGCATTAAGAAGACCCAAATACGAATATTTTATATAGATCCACTTTTGTCCAATATAATATAATCCTACTCAATTCAATTTAAATATATATATCACATATACTTAAAATTTATATTCTATTTTATTTGATTGCTGTTTTCTTACTAACGAATCATTAATTTCAATATATTCCCTTTATTCAATGATATAAAATATTAATATCTGATTGCAATCTGAACTCTCTCCAAAATTGATATAAACCCAACAAATAAGTGACCATTTGAATTAAAATAAAAGAATTAAAAATGGGCTGGTTTCAATAATCACTATTGGACACCCTAGCGCTTACAAGTCCGATCCTATTAATTGTTTCAATAATCACCAATAGGTATTTTAAAATTTATTGTTACTAATAAAAATGTACTTGCATGCGCATGTAATAGTATCTTTAAGATAAAACTATTTATAATTTATGGACAGTTTTTGAACAGTTATAAGTGAACAGTTTCTTAATTATAAGTGGACAGTTTTTGAAGTGAGAATAAAGAACATATATGCCCTTTTTTTATGCCCGTTGTATATTTCTTAGATAAGAAATAAAAATGCCTAATGAAAAATCCAGAAAATAGAACTATTTGCTCTTTTATTTATAGTATAGATTAATGAGTGATTTTACGTTTTTTTTTATTGTTTTTGTATCGACGATGAATTGATCGTTAAAATACAAAACATAATCATCATGAACTTGCACGTGTAAGGTATCTTACACTAAAATCAGTTCTAAAGAATCGGTTTAGATGTTAGTTATGTACAGCCCCTATAACTCAGTGGTAGAGCGTCAGTCTTGTAAACTGAAGGTCCGTAGTTCGGTCCTGCGTGGGGGCAATTTAAATCAAATAGCTTGGCATCCAACACTTTTAAGGCTTATTATTTGAAATTTAAAATCATTTTTTTTTTGTAAAGCATGGTGGGAACCAGAACCAATCCGACAATAAATATCAAGGAATTGAAATCGAACAGATCCAGTAGGGTCTGTAATTTTAGACCCTGGATCAAACTTATCGGTTTTCAGATTGTCCCGAATATATAGTAAATTTATTATAACCATGTGTGTATATATATACACCTAATATATATAAATTATTTAATATAGGGAGAATGACTGATAACCCCAAGTCAGAATATATAGGTTTAAAGTACATTTAGGGTAGGTGCCAGCTCAGAATTGATGCCAATTCATGGGTGAGTATGGATAGATAAAGTGTGGTTTTTGAATCTTCTGAATGTTTATAGCTTTGCAGTAGGAATCAGATATCTGCATTAGGTCTATCTGTACTTTTCCATTTAATGTATTATATATACATAAATACTTTGGTCAATTAGGTTGAACCGATTTCAAACCGATAATAAGACAATATATCAAAAATCAAAATGGACCCATTAAGTCCACATCCTGAAACCAAAACCAACCCATCAATTCGGATCCGTCGAGTCAGATCAGGTATTGACAGCCTAGCATCATTGCATTGAATGCCCGTTTCTCTATCACACCGGCATTACATGGGCAATTAAACTTCACCAAATCATATAATCATATTTGGTTGGACTCTTTCTTTTTCTTGTAAGAATTTGATTACTCTTTTTTCTTCTATATTTTGTAAGAATTTTGGTTGGGTTCATTGGGTACCAAATATTTTGTACTTATTTTATTTTGGATTATGCAAAAGTCATTTAAAATAACATTATTTAGACATTTCCTTCTCACCAGCTCAGGGGGGCCGGGGGTGTTGTGTGAGCATTTTCTCTTACGTGAGTTGGTGAAAAAAACAAATAATTCGACACTATAAAGGATAAAGCCAATGTTGAACCAATCATTCTTTAGGCCCAGTTTGAAAGGAGTACAAATACAAATATAAATATGTATAGTACAAATATAAATATATAGAGTGCAAAACCTTGTTTTTGTATTATTTTGTATGTATTTATACAGTACATATTTGTATTTGTACTCCTTCGAAACTGAGCCTTAAGAACTGCTTGTCAAAACACAGACAGGTGCAACTTGGACGGGCTGGGGTTGTGGGTCAACCCAAGTTACAACCCACCCTAGCCACAAGTAACTAACCAAATTCATGTGGTGGTTAGCTATATGGGTTTAGTTTACCATAAAGACAGTTTTTTTGTGGTGTCACAAGTAACTTGACCATTCAGATGCCTAATTCTAGTTTTTTAGCCAAGTTGTTAGAATTTAATACACAATAATTGCCAAAAAAGTACAAAACAACACAGGGAGCAGCAATTTTAGAAAACTACATGCTCCATCCCAATTTTTACATTTCCTTCCAAAGCAAAAAAGAAAAAGAAAGAAAAAAAAATACTTGAAACCCACCAAGATCAGAAGACTCAGAAAACATGTTTTTAGATATGCAAATCTGCAATCTTTTTTTTTTCTTTCTATTTCCTCCATTGAGTAACAATACAGAATATACTGTTGGAACTCTTAGAAATTATGCTGCAAGAACAAGTTCTGTTCAGGAGAAGCAGGCCCAATCTCTTCCTCCAAACACCTCAACCCATCACCAGCACCCCCATTACCCAAGTTTTTTGCTTCTAAATTCTTCCCATCAATGTCTGCATCTGAAACTGAAGACTTCCTCCTTTGGGATGAGGCAACACTTGGAAATGTGATCCAGGAAGGAGCTCTAAACTCAAACCTTTGATCCTGATCAGCTTCGATTGCATCTGCATCTGAGCCTGATCTGTTTGAAGACCTCTGTGATGACTTCTTATGCAGCCTACTACTACCCAAGACCACCTCTGTAGGCAAGATTGGCTGCTCATTACATGGGCTCCCCATCAAAAGTGCAAGGGCTCTTTCTAATGCTGTTGTCACCTTATCCATGGATGGCCTCTCCTTCCCTCTCATTCTCACACACTTAGATGCCACGTTTGCTATCCTCCTTAGAGCCTCAAGATCATCTGGAGGTTTCAATACTGGGTCCAAGATTGCTGATATATCTCCAGCTTTGATCAGTGGAACTGCCCATTCAACTATGTTCCCTTCTTCGAATTGCATATCAATGGCCTTACGGCCACTTAGAATTTCCAATAGTAAGACACCAAAGCTGTAGACATCAGACTTCGTTGTTAGATAGTGAAGTCTGTAGTACTCAGGGTCGAGATACCCCAAGGTCCCTGCAGGTAACTCAGCCAATGGGGAGCTACTGTCAGCTGGACCTAGCAATGAGAGGCCAAAATCAGCAACTCGAGCGTTGTGTTCTTCGTCAATGAGAATATTCGAGGACTTGATATCTCGATGAATCACAGGTGGGCAAGCATAACCATGCAAGTATTCAATTCCACGAGCTGCCTGGACTGCAATGGTGACCCTTCGAACCCAATCCAATTGCTCTTTCAGGCTTGGGTCCTTGCCATGGAGGTGTTGATGCAATGACCCATGAGCCATGAACTCATACACCAGAAGCCTCTCCCCTCCTTCTTCACAGTATCCCAGCAGATTGAGCAAGTGTGCATGGTTTAGTCTAGAGAGAAGATCAAGCTCAGTGTGGAACTCCTTCGAGTTTTTTTTCAGGTCTGTAGATTTGATTGCTCTCTTAACTGCAACCACTGTCCCATCCTTCAATATACCTTTGAACACACAGGAAAAACTACCTTTCCCCACTTGGGATTCTTCCTTAAATCCACCAGTAGCTCTCTCGAGTTCCTCATAGGTGAATGTCTGAGCCCTCCTGAGCTTAAGGTCATCGAAGTCAGGTCGGACTTTACCATTCTCTTTGCTGATAGACAAAACCACATTGTTCTTGGTGACTTTTGATTCTGCCAATGAGCATTGGCACCTCTGTAATTTGTAACGGACATAAAGGAATGCAGTTAAAGAAACAGCAGTTACCAGGAAGACAGCAAAGATGAGCTCTGCAACAAAAATTGGCATCTGGAGAGACCAGAATCGACCATTTCTCTTTTTCCCTCCCATTACAGGGGAAGAAGAACAATTGGATATGCACTGGCCCGAGACACAGATAGAACAGTTGAACTCACAGACTCTATCAGATTTGGTTGTGCACTGCACAGTCTGATACATCTCAGCAGGGCAGCCATTGCTGCAAGGAAAACAAACATGCGAGTTAGGCGCCTTGCACGGCTGACTTCCTTGGATTAACTCATAGAAACCACGAGTGCAAGGACTAGACGAGCAGAGGCCTGGTGATACTGCCAAGGGCAGGGATGGGGGGAAACCAAGACCCCAACAAACAGGTTGCAGAGATTTTCCAGCAAGAACTCCACAGGTGAAGTAATCTCCAGCTGCAATCTCATAAACCTTAACTCCTCCAGGAGCTGGGGTGCTCTTATCAGTGTGAAAACCCCAGCAAATCACCCCATTATCAGAACTCTTAATTCCACAGGCATGAAATTTTCCACCTACAATAGAAATCATGGGATCATCTGGAACCAACTCAACATTCCCATCACCCAAATAAGCAGTCTTTTCTTCCCCATTCATGCTCTTCCCCCAGCAAATGGCTCTAGAATTCTCACCTTCTACGACACCACACACATGAAACCCTCCTGCAGAAATCTTCCGAAACCTTGCATCTCTGGGAATTAAATCCATAACCCCACTACTAGTTTCATCACCCCAACAGAAAACGGTTCCATTATCAGAAAACAACCCACAATTAAACACAGAACCAGCTGTAATGGCCTTGATCTTGCCACTAAAAACATGGTTGGCTGTCATGTTGTAACCCCAACAATCAACTAGGGAAGTGTTTCCATGCATTCTTCCCATCTCTGGCATCCTCAAGCCGCAGATGTGGTGATCTCCAGCACTAATCTCTGAATAAGCAGCTCCCTCAATCATCGGTTGTGGGACACCCATTTTGATGTAAATGCTACTCCCCCAACAGTAAGGCTGGTTGGACTCCATTAGAAGCCCACACACAAATCCATCACCGGCGGTTAGGCCTAGGATCGGAAACCGAGAAGGAGCTCCGAAGATTACAGCTGAGTCTGCTCCATAGCAGGTCACAAGATGAGACCCATCTGACTTCAAACCACAGAAAACAGGACCATTCTCGCCATAAGACACAGCGATTGAGGACATGGAGCCCAGACCAGACACCTGCAACCATGAATCTGCAATGGCCATCAACAACACTACAGCTTGGAGAAGAAAACCTGCTTTCCTGGTGTCCATCTTCAAAACCCAGATGAGAAACCTGTGATCAAACTCCAGGAATTTTTCGCCAATAAATCCAACCAATTATTTAAACAAAACCTGAAAGCTACAACAGTTATCTGAAATTCCGACCAACATTACAACCCAAATAAGAATCTACCACTTCTGACATCCAGTTCCATGTCCAGATGAGAAAGTCTTCTATATTGAACGACTCTTTACAAAGAAACAAAACAAGATAACTAAAAAACAAACATAGCAGAAATTATGTTCAGAAGGAATATCTGTCCTGACTTTTGAAACTCCTCTTCTTGTTCTGTTTTCGGATGTTGGAAGAAAAACCACTAAAGACAAAGACAAGGAAATCCCATGTTTGAATAGCAGTGAAGGACTAGAATTCAAACCTGAGTGCTGCTTAGATAAATCATAAGATCCAAATGCCAAATACTCCGTCCAAAAGAAGCTTCTGTGATATCAAACTCCCCAGATGCTCTTCTTCTGCAAGACCCATACAAAAAAAAAAGAAAAAAAATCCCTTCTTGCTTCTGGGTAACAACTCTAAACAGGACTTCAAAAATGAGTTCCAGGAATGCAATCTGCAACTTCGCAACTTTGATGCAAGAGGCACACCCAAGATCAGGTTCTACTGATTCTACCTTTAAAGCTTCATTCTGTAACCATCTACTGAAACAGCTTACAGATTTCTTTTTTTTTTTTAAATCTCTCTCTTTTCTCTTACTAAAGTTGGTAGAGAGCTGAGAGATGTTGCAGAAACAAGCGATTAGTGAAAAACTAAAAAAGTGGATGGGTGAAGATGGGTTATAGAAACGGAGAAGATTGCAGGAATGGTGATGGTAAGTGGGAGAGAGCATTAAATGCCATTAACTTCCCAGCTTCAAACGTGACCAAGTGTAGGTGAGGACTTAAATGAGAATTTAATGCCCTTCATCTTTTCATGCCTGGATTTCTGCAGTCTGTAACATGTCCACAATTTCGAATTTTTGCTAGATCAGTGCACCCACCAGTTCAGCACCCTTTCCTTACATGGGTGCCTTGTTTCTGCTTTTATTAACCCACCCTCTCCTTCTTCCCTTGTCTTGTTTCAAGCATCATTCTTCTAACCAGTAGTTTTTATGGATTCGTGTGAGGTCTTCAGTCTTCTCCTATTCTTTTTGGATTATAATACTGTGATTATTTTATAGAATAAGTGATTACTATATATAAAAATGTTGCTTCTTTTTGGGACAAAATAACATATTTTGCAAGAAGAAAACAAGGTTTATTTTACTGTTTTTCATGTGATGACCGATAGATTTTGAGTATAAGATTTGTTTGTTAAACTCTGATTAGGATTTTCATTAATTTATCAAAACATTGCCCTACCATGTGTTTTGGATACTTGGACTCTTCCTATTAACTAACCACTGAACTTGTTGGGTGGATAATGCAGTCTGTCCTCCTTGTGTCAAAATCATCAGATTGGGATTTTCAATCTCAGGGTTGACAGAATAGTATGTTGGATTCCCGTAGCTAGGATTTTGAGCATAAAAGATTCCAATATTATAGTTCTCATATGTAGTCCCACAAGCATAAAGTGAACCTACTGTTTTCTATCAATTCCCAATCTGAAAAAGGTTTCTTCAACACTTTCACCTTCATCCAACTGGTTTAGCCTCGACCCAACTCACCCATTAATGTAAGAGCGGTCATCCTTAACAGATGCTCCTTTTGTGCCAGGCATCGCCTTATTATCCACCATAAAAGAGCATTTGTTCTTTCTTAAAGGAGCAAATTGTTTGGATTTTGGGGCAATGTTATCAGACTTGGACCAGATTGGAAAGTTGTTAGATCACTCAGCCCGTGAGAAATGGAAATCATCAGATAATCAGGAACTGGAAAGCTCACTGTCTCATCAGATTGTTAAATGTTAATCAACTTTCCAACTAGATTGTTAGATCTAACAATCTAGTTAATTCATAAAATTATGACCCAAAGAGTAGAGATGAAGATGGATCGGGTTAAGTGGTAAATCTGCACTGACCCGAACCCAGGTTAGAGTTGGGTCAGCTTTAATTGGGCTTTTCTTTGTTTCTTTTGAGCCGCTTTAATTGGGCTTGGGTTAGGTAAATCCATCCAAAACATTCAAATATTTGTATTCCATTACAATGCTGGAAAGATATGATATAGAAAAACTTACAACCAATCAACTTGCATCATAAAAGTAAAAACCAATCAGATGGGTTTTCATGGAGAATGCGTCAAAGCCTTTCCGGTGTCACGTCTTTCCAATATCATAGATTTTTCCTTAGTATATATAGCCTTGGTTGAATATAGATGTACTATATGCGAGATGGGTTGGGTCGAGCTCAACCCCATCTTGTTTAATTGGATTGAGTCGCATCCCTATTAGAGAAAATTTTAGTTTTTTTTATTAGACCCCAGTGTAACAACATTTCTTTGGATGAATAAACTAATGTAGGGATGGCAATTTTTTTCATAAAACCGGGGCCCCACCTTGGCCTGCCTTGAATGGGGTAGGTTTTCCTCCTGTCACTGGGGGGGATTTTAATTATAAGGTCAGAATGGAGAGGGGTGCCCCACCCAGGTGCCTCGGACCTGCCCCACCACTGGGGACGGGGGTAGGGGATTTTGGTTATGGGGTGGCCCGGGAATGGGAAGGGGGTGCCCCTTTTGAGTCCAGCTTCAGTCAAGGCAAAGCCTGTTCCAACAGCCCTACATTAGGAATATCTTCGTAATTATGTGATTTATTTCATGCGTAATATTTCCAATGCAAGATTGTAAGAGGCTGTTAGAATGATGTAAGCACCGATTTGCCCTGACAAAAGCAGAATTTGCCCCTTTTCTCCTCCAATATCCTTATTTAGGTTTATATCCTAATGAAGGGGATGTTTGGAACCATGGCCGTTTTTCAAAAAAATGGTGACACATTAGATCTACATAGGCATTTCAACAAACGTCCATGTATCTAATTGTTTGGTTCAGCCGATTATTAAAAAATCAAGCATGTCTCGAAAATTGGGACCCCACCGATGCATGAAACACCAAATTGGTGAGAACCGTTTTCCCCCAACAGTTGACTGATGTGTATCTTATGTGGTGTTTACCTGTCAGCACATAATGGTGATAAAAATCACCTTACCAAACAGCATACTGTTGCTCATTGCCTACATGGCAAAAGCACTTTTTTGTGAAAAATGGGTCTTGAAAGCATGGATGTTCTTTCTTAAAAATCGGTCCCAAAAAACACCCACGCTTTCAAACACCATGAAAACTAGAATCTCTACTACAGGCAAAAGAATTTACCAGGAATCTAACTGGCAGATAGGGGTGTATCCATCTGATTAATGAAAAACCCAATTTTCTGGAAGATAGTGTATATATTCCATCCCTAATTGTTCAAACACAATTTAGTTCTTTAATGTGAATACCTTCCTTCCTAGCTAGCTTTCTTTACATAACATGTGATGTTCTCTGCACTTTGTTTTATTAGGAGTAATGAATCTGCAAATTGCAATTTGGTTTAACAGAGAGACAAGACGAATAGTATTCTAAATATTCATGAAACCTAATATAATACCATGACTCTCTCTCTCTCTCTCAGAATACAAAATCAGTAAATTATTATTTTTAAAATTGAAAACCCCACCCTTCTGCATTTAATTCAGTTGTTCAAGTGCCAAAGGGTTTGAACTGAAACATGGAGTAGCTTTAGTTGGATATAGGGTCAAGTCCAGGTCAAATGAGTCCAATGTGCATCGAGGTTTTACTAGCCCCAACCTTCTCCTCTCTGTCTTGCCTTCAAAGAAAATTATTTTAAAAGGCTCAACCCTTAGAAAAAAATAATGTGGTATGCTTGTCCCAAAAGACAATTTTTAATATGATCATGACATTTTTAGACTTTTTTTTTGTTGGTGGAGATAAGTTCCTTGAATCAGAATCAGTTTGTGGGCCTCTCCACTTCATTGTACAAGCCACTCATCCACATGGGCCCAACAAAATCAACAATTGGGTGGCCATGGGGCTCCAAATTATTTGATCCAAAAACAATTCTATAATGGATTAGAATACTTCATCTCAGTATCAGGATTTGATAGGATATAGAACAACTTACAGCCATTCATTGGATTATTATTACATCAAGATTTGAGTATTTGTTACTTAAACATTAATTTATTCCACATGCCACGAAAGAATTTAATGAACAAGTACATGTAACAGGATCTCATTTATGGCACTACTTTAAATTTACTAATCAACTTTTGGAGTTTTCTTTATTGAATTTCATAGCAAAGTTGAGAGAAGAATTGTGGCACAATTTATATTTATATTCAGGTATTAAAAAAATACTATTTGTCCATAAGTCTCAGTTTGGAAAGAGTAAAAATATAAATATGTAGAGTTTATACTTTTCCCAAACTGATCCTAATAGTCTTAAGGAAAAGGTGAAGAGGTCACTATATTATAAAAAATAATTTTTAGAAATCCATCATCCCTAGTTTTATTTTTAGAGCTTCATCATCCCTAGTTTTTTTTTCATGGGTACAGATGCAAATACAAGGACAGGGGGTTACCTTGACCAATTGGTAGGGGTGAGCAAGAAAAACTAAAAAACTGAACTGAACCAAAAATTTTGATTAATCGAACAGTTTAATTTGGTTTTAGTTTAGTATTTTTGAACTGGTTCGGTTTTGGTTAATTGATATAAAAAACTAATGGTTAACCGAATTAACCGGTATATAGTTATATATATTATACTTATATTTATGTATATTATATATTTTATATATTTTTATGATTGATTATATATAATATATTATTTATTATTTATAATATAATATTTTATATGCATTTATTATTTTTTTTATTATATATTCATTTACAATATATTTTATAAAGTCAAAAAACCAAAAAACCAACGAACCAATCTAACAGTTAATCAATCGGCTTCAATTTGGTTTCGGTTACCAATTTTACAAAAACCGGTTTGAAATTTAGACCCACAACAATTGAGTATATACCTATAATAATAAAGATGGTTTTACATCCGTTTGTCTTTCCTCGATGATCCAAAATTAGCATTTTCATTATTTTTAATACAGATGTTCTGCCATTGCCATGCCTTTGTATACTTGTATCTCACGTTTCCCCTCTCTTGAAGTAATTGGGATGTGTTTATGCGCCTCACAGCCACATTCCACCATTGGTAACATTTCTCCATGAATAATAAATACAAGTATGGGAGGTATTCCCAATGTGCAGCCAGAATATGCTATGAAGTCAGTATGAGGTGTGCTTTGAGGAGCAGATCTGGACTCCTCTTGAATAGAGGTGTAAATCAGGCCATGTTAGGTTGGTATGGCATGGCCCACATATGGTTCATGCAAAGTACGGGCCGTGTCGTTCCATTCCGCGGGCTGAGTCAGGTCGTGTTTTCTTTCCATGGGATATTTTAGGGGGTCAGCCCGGCACAGTCCACAGCCTGAGCCCACACGAGCCTTGTCATGCCATGTTGTGTTGCAGGCCGAACCTTAGGCCAAGCCGAGCCATAGACTGGACCAAGTCATATTTTTTTTAATTTTTGGAAAAGTAATGAAAATTTTAACATAAATTAAATATATATACAAAAAATTAAAAAAGAACTTAAAATTTTATTTTATATGAATTTTGATGTATATAATTTTTTGTATATGCAATAATAAAATAATATAATATAATAAAACTGAAAATAAAATTATATATATATATATATATGGATCATGCTGGGTCATGCCATACCTGACACAACCCACAATCAGTGGTGCCGAGTTATAGGCGGCACAACCCAATTTACACCTCTTCTCTTGAAGCAGTATTACCTACATTCACGTGCCCCACATTTGCAAGTTCAGTGTTTCGACGAGACCACGTAGCAACCAAATGCCCTTTTGTTTGTTTTCCACCACGAATCCTTCTTTCTCTTATCTGAGATGCAAACAAAGTCTTCTCCTTCTTGGCAAACAGGGGCTCCCCTTTATATTCTAAGCGGCAGAGCAGAACAATAATATTAAACCAATCAATGCTGGCCCTGTTAATTAAAAAACTGGGATTCATTG